TCTTTTCCCTGGGCTTCATTGAAGAGATTTGGAGGACATTTATCAGATCTTGAGATTTAACCAGCCATTAAGATAGATCATGGTGCTTGAGGAATTAAAGAGTAAAGTGTGAAATGGGGATTGTAAGAACAGCTTCAATCTGGGGGCTGGCACCCCAATCAGCATTATGAGGCATCTCCACAGACATGGCCACAAGAAATCTACATAAAATTGAAATACGAGCAAGCAGGTTTGCAGGCAGCCAAATTGCACCTAGCAGGTGTAAAAATGGGTAGCAAGATCTCTACCTGTGGTGGTTTCAAAAATATTTTCCAGAAATTCTTCAACACTCCTCCCTCCAAAAGGTGGAGCCCAATTCTCTTCCTTTTGAGTATGAACTGTATGTAGTAACTCATTTCTAACTAATAGTATATGACAGATGTGTTATTGTGTTACTTCTGAGACCAGGTCATAAATAGCATGGTGGCCTCCCCTTTCTTTCTGTCTCTCAAATCTAAATACAAGATTCTTTATCTGAGGGAAGGTAGCTTCCGTGTCCTGAAGGCACTCAAGCAGTAAGAGAGGCCCATGTGACAATGAATGGATTCCTTATGCTAATAAGTATGTGAGTGATCCGTTTTGGAAGTAAACTCTCCAGCCCCAGTCAAACCTTCAGATGACAGGAGCTCTGGCTACCATCTGGATTTTCAGCTTCATAAGCAACTCTGAGCTAATCTGCTCATGTTATTCAGATTATCAAGAATAATCTGATATTCTTGCCTAAGAAGATAAAGCTCAATTTTATAGAAAGTCACAGCAGAACCTTCATAATTTGATTTTTACACCCCCCCTCCCGGTTTTCTTCTTCATACAGCCTTTCTAATCATACAGATCTGCTTTCTGTTCTCTCACCATATGATTTTTCCTCACACCTAGCATATGCTCTGTTCTCTGTCTGTAGGTATCTACTCATCTTGCTTCAACTCTGTCCATTTGGTGAACTCCTGCTTACTACTTATGCTTCAGATCAGTGTTGCCCTCTCTGTGACATTTTTTTTTCTGTTTTCTTCAGGAATATTTAAGGGATCTTTCTTCATATTTTTAGGGATCCCTGTACATACTTCTCTTACTATACTCAACATAAGGTAAATACTCATGCCCTTGCCTTTCTACCCATCAGTATAGGGACTGATGTATCTTTTCTTTTCCTTCTTTTTTACAATCCAGCACCTATTATAGCATAAAGTAAATAGAGGTGTGGCATGTTTAAATTTAATAACCAAATGAATAAATATAGTGCTAGTGAACTCTTGCCATTCAAATAGCAAATATTGAAAAATTGGAAGTCAAACTCAATTGCTTTACCATGAAAAAACACGTTGAAGCACTTTCTATGTGACATGCATAATGCTTGGTATTTCTCTCTATACTATCTTATTAAATCTTCATAATAATTATTGAGAAGGCATAGTTTTTATTATCTTCACTTGCCAGGATTCAAACCCAGATCTATCTCCAATCCAAAGAATCTCCCTCCACATTCCCACAGCATGATTTCAGCAATAATAACAACTGTATCAGGGAAAATTCTTTAGGAACTTAGAAGCATGAATTGGGCCATTTCCTACTACATTCTAGAACAGCCGTGGGCAAACTACGGCCCGTGGGCCGGATCGGCCCGTTTGAAATGAATAAAACTAAAAAAAAGACCGTACCCTTTTATGTAATGATGTTTACTTTGAATTTATATTAGTTCACACAAACACTCCATCCATGCTTTTGTTCCGGCCCTCCGGTCCAGTTTAAGAACCCATTGTGGCCCTTGAGTCAAAAAGTTTGCCCACCCCTGTTCTAGAAGAATATTTTTCAGGGTTTGTTTTATAAACATTTCAATAAACCTTCATGCAAAATAGCACTTAATAAACATTCATGTCCAGACCAGTTTTCTCCTTCTGTTGTGGGATCTTGAGTTGCAAAGCCCTTTATGACAACCATACTGGTGAGCCAGTAACTCAAAGGAAGGTAATTATTAGAATCATCAGAAGGTGTTCTCAGCCCTAATGAAACCTTTTCCTTGGGGAAGCTCTTGGTGGTAGTTATCACACAAATTATTTCTCAGGAGCCCACGGCAGATTGACTAGACCAATTTTAAATTAAACTGCAGGGCTTTCCAAGCGGTAGAAAAGTGAAAGGCATTTTTTAAAGAGAGCAGTTTCCTATCTAATAAATAACTACCTGCCATGGTGTGAAATTTAATAGTAGTTGTGGCATTGTACATCAAAAAGTAAATTGCAGTGTACGAAGTTAACAAATTCTCGGTGTGAATGCTGCCAGCTTATGCTTCCCCAGAAGCATCGAGCGGTGGCAGATCATAAGAAAAGACGACCTCAGCTGCTGATTCCATAGTTGATTGTGGATACATCTAAAATAAGGCTAGTCGCCTTAGCAAGAATTATGAGTGAGGTCTCTGTTTTGGTTTTCTCTACATTTATGTGTACCAGCATGTTACTGATAGATATTAATGTGAAATTTAATGAGAAAATCATAGCCAAGGCTTCTGTGAATGTAATTGATACCCCTCATAGCTTATTTTGTGGGTGTGCCTTTAATGGGCCCTAATCCTATGTAATAATAGAGAAACATGGTAATTAACCATAACTTCACTACCCTTCTCAATGGCTAATCAGCGAGATATGCAAATTAACTGCCAACCAAGATGGCAGCCGGCAGCCAGGCAGCTTGAAGCGAACAGGAGGCTTGCTTGGTTCAGTGACGGAGGAAGCCAACCTTCCCCGCCTGCCGCTGCTGGGCTCTGAGCTTGCACTCTAAGAAACATTGTTACAATTATAGAAGCTAAAAAAAACCACCAGAAACCTGCTTTCAGCCAGCCGGGCCTCAGAGCTGGAGTTGAAACAGTGTTTCGATTATAGAACCCAAACAAACCAGATACCTGCTTTCAGCAGCCGAGGTCTCAGAGCTGGAGCCGAGCCTCAGAGAGAAAGCCGGCTCTCAGTTCCAGTCACAGCCATAGAAGGTAAATAAATCCAAGAATAAAAAAAAAAAGAAAAAAAGGAGAGGTTTGGAGCTTCATTCGCCTGCCAGCCTGAAAACGGCCCTCAGCCCCTCACCCAGGCTGGCCAGGCACCCCAGTGGGGACCCCTACCATGAAGGGGGTGTGACCAGCTGCAAACAGCCATCATCCCCTCACCCAGACTGGCCAGGCACCCCAGTGGGGACCCC